AGAAGAGGAGAAGGGGGGGGGGGAGTGAGTAGTTGAGTAGTGATTCAATTACTTGGACAAGACGAAGGTTTTTGGGTAGTTGATTACTTGAGTAGTCGTTTACATCCCTACTGCATATTGGTGCACATGGGTGATTTATGCCAGGGGTAATTGTATTTGTCAATAAATAAATGTGGGAGACTCCAGTATGACAGTGGGAACCACAGCCAACTGGCTGCATGTAAATGGGAGATCTCCTTGCAGTCTTCTCCCTCCACTGCTCTCCACTCCCAGGGACAAGTGCTAAAGAAGAGCATGGGGGTGCACACTAACCACGTGCCCTCCCCCCCCAACTCCTCCTGCAACACCCCTAGTCTGGAGTCAAGGGGTTTGGAGTGCAGAAGGGGACGCAGGATCTGAGCGGAAGTTAAAGTATATGAGGAGGTTCCAACTGGGGAGAGTGGGTTCAGGTGCAGGCCCTGGGAGGGAATTAAGATGCAGGAAGGTGTTCCAGCTGGGGGCAAGCAGTTCTGACTGGGGACAGGGTGGTGCTTATCTCAAGTGGCTCCCAGTCAGTGGCACAGCAGGGCTAAGGCAAGCATCTTGCCTGCCCTAGCTCTGTGCTGTTCCTGGAAGTGGCCAGCATGTCTGGTCCCCACTCAACACATCACTTCCATATTAAGGATGTTAAGAAGCAGGTAACTGACTAATTGTGTAGTACTCGATTTAGTCAATAAAGGGCCCTGCTGCCGCTCTGCAGTTTAAATGTAGTAGGAGCTGGGTGCACAGGCAGCCTGGCTCCTACTACAGTAAACTTCCGATAATCCAGCACCTTTAAGACCCAGGGGGTGCCGGATTATCATATTTGCCGGACTATCGGAAGGGGGGGCTATGAGGGGTTTGGGGTGGGAGGGATGCCACCCCAGACCCCTCAGTCCCCCCTTCCAATAGTCCGGCTCTGCCCCAGGCATCCCTGATTCAGCCGCTGCTGGTCAGTTTCAGTGGTCAGTTTCAGTTGGCGCGGCGAGAGCAACCTGGCAGCACCCCAGCTTCTCTTGGGGACGCCTGGGGCAGAACAGCTGAGGTGCTGCCGGGTTGGTCCTGCAGCGCCGCTCCTCGTCGCTACTGGACCAACCCGACAGCACCCCAGCTTCTCTGCCTCAGGTGTCCCCAAGTCAGCTGCTGCTGAAACTGACCAGCGGCTGGGTGACAGCGCGCTGGGGGCGCCCCGGCTCC